TTAACAAGCATATAATAATTTCAAGAACTGATAAAAATCAAGAAATCAACTAGCAATTAACATATAAATGGCCAACAATTCTGCAAAAGATAAAGACCTGATAACTAAAAGTAGATATGATTTCATAAATAAAAAAAGTCCAATAACCAGAAAAAAAATTAATCTTTTGTCTAATAGAGAAAAAAGTCAAAAAAAAAGATAATATAATTTTCTTGCCACTATGCGCCTGTGCACAAAAAAAAAAAAAAAAAAAAAAAATTCAATCAAATTTCTAGTTTGTTGTTGCTCATTGCACGATTCACTGCAACTCATTTCTCTATCAAGATACTAAAACTTGCGGCAAATAGTGTTTAGTCATTCACAAAATTTCTCTACAATCTGTCCCTTTTATACAGAGAATTCAGACAGTGCAGCAACTCACTTAGGTTTATTAAGTGATATATAATAAATAAAGCAAGTTGAAGAAAAAATTATGAATTCTAGCAAAACTTATAAAATGGCCAACAATTCCTGCAAAAGACAAAAGCCTGATAACTAAAAGTAGATAATTCAATAAATAAAAAAGTCCAATCCAGAAAAAGAAATTAATCTTTTGTATAATAGAGAGTAAAAAAAAAAATAATAAAAATGTTTTATTCCAATTTTCTTGCTACTATGCATCTCTGCAAAAAAAATAAAAAATAAAATAAAAATAAATCAAATCAAATTTCTAGTTTGTTGTTGCAAGTTGCACGATTCACTGCAACTCATTTCTCTATCGAGATACAAAACTTGCGGCAAATAGTGTTTAGTCATTCACAAAATTTCTCTACAATCTGTCCCTTTTATACAGAGAATATCAGACAGTGAAGCAAACTCACTTAGGTTTATGAAGTGTAATATAATAAATAAAGCAAGTTGAGAAAAAATTATGAATCTAGCAAAAACTTAATTCCAAACCAGAAAATCTAGAAACCAAGCCGAGGTACGAAAGGAAAATGGAACATTAAAAACCCATAGTTACAAATTTTTTCCTACCATTGCAGTAGACTTTAAAGCCACTGGCTTTTTCAAGCAACTCCCACTATTATCCTTACCACAATATTCATTAAAAACTTCAAATGAATTCTCTCATTGCCTAGTGCCTTTATGAAGCGATATATATAATAAAGCAAGTTGAAACAAAAAATATGAATTCTACAAAAACTGAAATCCCAAAGTTCAAAAATCATACCAAGCAAGCCAAGGGTACAGAAACTGAAATTACAAAGTTTTTCCAGCCATATTGCAGTTAGGACTTTAAAGCTACTGACTTTTTCAAGCAAATCCCACTATTATCCTTACCACAATATACAGTAAAAAACTTCAATGAGTTCTCTCATTGCCCAGATGCCTTTAGGAAGTGCTATATATAAACAAGAAAGCAAGTTGAAGAACAAAATTATGAATTCAGCAAGACTTAAATTCCAAAGTAGAAAATCTAAGAAAGCAGGCCGAGGGTACAGTAATTGAAATGAACATTAGAAACCCATAGTACAATTTTTTCCTACCTTATTGCATAGACTTTAAAGCTGTGTGGCTTTTTCAAGCAACTCCCACTATTCTGCCTAGATGCCTACAGGAGGAATAACAAGAAGATATTGTCAATATTGTTCCCTCACTTAAAGAGGTACATCATTTCTAGATTTAAGACCAACTGTGATATTGTTCTTTATATTCCCATAGCCATTTCGTAAAGCTATAACAAACATAATCTTCATAGATACAGCAAAATCTCAACTCAATATTACACTCTACTAGAGTTGACAAGAATTATCTAAATAGTAAATTAGTCAAATTAGACAAATAATACAAATTCAAATAGAAACTATTTACTATTTCCAACCATTTCCACCACCATGACATGTTGTATATCTCCTTCCCTATTTCACGAAAGCTACAACAAAGATTCAATGGATTTTAAATTAACAAAATATATAAAAATTGAATCCTCACCAAAAGCAACCTCTAATCACAAAAGAAACTAATACAAAAAACTTTTCTTCTTTAACAAATAGAGCATTTTTCCCAAAAGCAAAACAGGGATTTGAAATAAAATAAATAAGTACCAAACATAGCATTCATTGCTTTAATATTAAAGTTCCAATAATAAAATAGCTTTGAGCTTTTTAAGCTTCAACCTGGACAACCATAGTTCAAGTGAGAACTCCAAAAGGAAAAACCAAGATCAAAATTGGGTGCTGAATCCACGTTGACCAAGACCTAAAAGGTAGAAGTCCCGTAAAGAAAATACCAAAAAAACTGGGTCTAAATAATAGAATCTGGAAGTAGAATATAGCAATTCATTGATTTTTTAAACATAACCAATATGATTCAAGTTCCAAACAATAAGGAAAGCTTCAAGTCCTTTGCACTTTGTAAGAAAAAACAAACTTGGAAAGCCGATTTAATGAGAACCTCAAAATGAAACACCACATACCGGGGGTGCTGAATCACTTTGACGTAGACCTAAAAGGTAACAGTCCTGAGAATGAAAAATTGTAGGCAGTAAAATGCAAAACATGGAATTGAAATAATAGAAAATTTGGAAAAACAAAATAAAGCAGAATCATAGCTGTCTGAACATCACTAAAGTTACCTAATTTCCAATCATTAAGGAAAGCTTTGAGCCCTTTAAGCTTTCTTCTAATAACAACATAGACCCGCCATGGACCGAGTGAGAATACTAAAATGAAAACCAAAGATCAATTGGGATGCTGAATCCACACTGACTCAGACCTAAAGAGGCAGTCCCGAGAAAAATAATTTTTTGGCAGTAAGAACAGGATAAGTAGAAAGTTCTCCTTGTGTAAGTAAAAAGAAAGGATAAGTAAATCGCCAACACATGAACCTTTGAGCCTAATAGAAATGGCCACACCTCTGAGGATGCTCTAATATAAACCTCAATGGATCAGGAATAGGAATTCTTTAGGCAACCAATAATTCAAAGATTCTTTACTCACCATCAATATATACTGATATCAAGCATAGAAGACATTCTTCATGGATAAAAATGGATAAAAACCTATATATCAAACTGACTACCCTTTAAGCTTTCATCAACTAATATAATAAAAATTAGTTCAACAACTATAGGCATAGTAATAACAAATGTTCACCATTATCCTATTATTCACATAGAATAAATCAAAAGAACTGAGCTATAACAAACTGGGACCTGGCAAAATTATTGATTAAGTGTTTGACCTGGGTACATATTGCTAACACGTGATTCAAAGATGACAAACATTATAAAGTGGAATGTTAAAATCATTCAAAGCTTCAATTAAAGCATAGTTAATTATCAGCACAGAACATGAGTAATAAACCATTGAAAACAATAATCATCAAAGATCAATCAGTTGGGTGCAAGGTTATCCACATTGTCAAGAACTTTGAAAGTTCCTGAAAAAAATAAACTCAGGCTTAGCTCATTAAGAATTGGAGAAGTATAATAAAAAATAAAATAAAAAGAAGATGTGGACTGCTCAGAATTTTTACTTACTCCACACTGAAACTGCAAACCCCATTATGACACAACCTGAATAAGAAGCAAATAAACTTAAAACTTGCTCCAAGTAGAAGTAATCCACAGACCATACCACCACCTTGCACTAACCAGTATTTCTTGAACATGTAGTAAACCTTGAACCAAGCGTTTCAATTAGATTCCTCCTTTCCAACATCTCAAGTCCAAGTGTGCAGGACTCCCCCAATCAGGACAAAAAAATAGGATGAGAAAATCTAATGACAAACATATACAATAACACAGTATCTTTACTTTAAGAATGCGAATTGAATATAGAAATAACTCTTCACAATAACATCATTCTCTTGTCTACATGAGATTTTAAACCCGTTTCTCCTTCAAGAAACTGATTCTTGAGATTAAAGAAAAAAAAAACTACACTGTTAACAGACTTGCAATTTCTTGTTGTGCAAATCACATGATGAACAATCCAGCAAGAAATCATGATGAAAATCACAATGTCTAGGTTTTAGATATTCTCAGAAAATCCCTCTAACTTATGAAAGAACTTTAACATGAAAGAAAGGAGGAGAAAATCAACATAATTCCGTTATGAGATGGGGAGGAAATCTATATGGGTCTTTATATATCTTTTACCATTATGACTTGGCTTGACTAAGTTCTAACGAAGTCAAGTCCACTGACCTTAGGAAATTTTAGTATTACATCATAATTACAAATAAAATAAAACACTTAATTTTCACATGTGCACATCAAAAGAAAAAATTAATGCAGTCCTTATTTATAAAATAATTAAGTAAATTACATTACTACCCCTGATTGGAAATAAAATAAATCATCAATTTACTCCTAGGACACATATTACAAATACAATTATTTGGAGGAAATCAACCCCAGTTATATTGCAAATTGCAAAACTTTTCTCAGAATCAAATTAATCTAGCTAATTTAAATTTCTAACTGCTAACATTGTAAAATAAAGTAAATTTAAGTTGAATGGATGACAAATAATTAATAATCAGAATCTAAGTTAATGGATGACAAAATATTATAATCAAAACCTTCTGGCTCAATTAAATTTCAAACTATAATATATCAAACGTAACAATTTATAACTTCACACCTTAATTTAGCAATGCCCCTAATCAGTCATCATAACACGGAAAGAAACCAAAACCTCAAATTTCCTCTTCATTCTTTTGGATTATTTAGTTCCTGTAAATTTCTCACAATAAAACCAAACAGCTAAAATCACTATGAAAATGGAAAAATTTTCCTAAAATAAAATTACAAAGTCTTTATCACTATAATGCTCACTTACCAAAGCACATGCGGAAAAAGGAGCATCTCCAATTATAATATATTTAATTCAGCAAACAAAATTTGATCCTCGCTGCAGCTAGGGGGTAGTAATGTGCACACATTTAATAAGAACAGAAACACCATCACAGGGCAAAACTCTTGTAAATGAGATGGTGCCAATAAACTGTTTGGACGTCATATGACGTATTACATTGCAATCAAGCGCTGCAATCAAGCGACTTCAGGAATATCTTCTGCACAGCAGCCTCATCCAATTTCTACAGCAAAATAAAGCGTATTGTTATTAAATTCAAGGTTTTTTTTCTTTTTTTTTTTTTTTTTTTTTTTTTTTTTTTTTGTAAGAAACGTGATTCTAATTTTATTAATAACATTAGTAAACTAATAACAAGTCCAATTACTAATTTTTCGATTAGGTTTAATGGGTGTTTTTTTCCTGGTTTTCAAATCTAACCCGACCCAGCCCAAATATTAGTAAGCTAATACAATCCTTATACTAATTGGACTTACCATGAAGGGGCACTGCCCCGAATGCATCTGCCAGGGACTTCAATCCCATGCAAAGTATCTTTCTTGTGTACACAGTTTTGAAGCTCTGCACTCCACTTGACAGAAATAGAACTGAACATGACATATTTGCCAAAACACCAAAGCTTGGAGAAATCATAAATATATTATCAGCTTACAACTACATGAACAACTACTCGAAACTATATGCGAAGGATCCAAACTGAAAATAACGTAAACTTCCACAAACAAACTGCATGAATCCAACATATGTGATTACTACCATTAAACTTTGCAATTTTTTGCAATCAGGCAGCCATTTGAGCCATTTACAAATAGGGGTATTTTTGTTCATGTTCCCATTTCCCTGTTTGCCTGCATGATGGTGTGATGTAACAACAATGTCCATTGTTTAATACCGAATCACACAATTGCAAAGCTTTGCATTCAGCTGATACATATTGACAAAATAGTGAAGTAAAACTTAACCATATCATTTGGACAAATGAAGAAACGACATTATATTACATGATACAATAAGCCTCCAATAATAGGAAAAGCTACAGGTAAAATGCCTAGTAATCTACAGAAAATACCTATCCCTTCCCACAAGTACCCAACCAACATGAGTACTAAACTTCGGAATTTTTCTACAAACCAGGAGCCAGAAGGCTATGTGGGCTAACTTTCTGTGAGTGCAACAAAGAGAAGTAGCTCTTTGTGTTTATATAAAGGCCTAGTTTTCACAAAAGAGAAATCAATTGCGCTTGTTTTTCCAAGAATTGTATCACAAAATGACCATGTAAGTAAGAAACAAGAAACTCTGAAAAACATACAAAGAAGCCTTCAAAACAAGAATTCATATATAAAATCATCAAAAACGCTAAAAGAAACCCACCAAACCTTGAACTTAACAATTTATAACAAGTTAATTAGCTAATTATTTACACAAACCTAATATAATCCAAACAACAAAAGGGTCAACTCAACACAAACAAAACATCATAACAATTAATTTTTCAGTCAACATTAACACCCTAAATTACAAGAACAAGAAAAAAGATTAAATTAAAAACAAAAATAAACCCACCAGGATCGGACTGCTGGTAGAACTTCTCAACATCTGCAAGAAACAACCCACCGAATAAAAATTAAAAAAGAACCCATTTCACAAAGACGAAAACAAACCCATAAATTATATAAACAAACAAAGATTAAACCAGTAGTTAAAGCCTTGATCAAGCCAGCTCGTCTGCCCTTAAAGTCAACGAAGACTTACTCTAGAGTTTTGGGTATTGGGTGCGATATTCCCTCCATAAACACTTGTGTAACAAAAATGGGTTTGCGGGTATTGAAGAGAACGAGAAGAAGAAAAGTCAAATGAAAAGAATTTTAAAAGAAAGGGGGTTTTTGTTTGGGGGTTTGAATTGACAAAATTGGGCTGTAAAAACACAATTTTGAAAGGAACCCGGAAGAGAAAAGAGAAAGTAGGAGACAATTTTGGGTTGAGATTTGTTTGTGTAAAACTAAAAGGAGATAGACTGTGAGAAAGAGAAAGAATATATAAATAAATGTGCACAAAAGGGCTGGAAAAACATCTGCAAGAAACAACCCACCGAACTAAAATTAAAAAAGAACCCATTTCACAAAGACAAAAACAAACCCATAAATTATATAAACAAACAAAGATTAAATCAGTAGTTAAAGCCTTGATCAAGCCAGCTCGTCTGCCCTAGAAGTCGCCGAAGACTTCCTCTACAGTTCTGGGTATCGGCACTTGTATAACAAAAATGGGTTTGCGGGTATTGAAGAGAACAAGAAGAAGAAGAAGAAGAAGAAGAGTCAAATGAAAAGAAAGGGTCTGAAAAACGCTTAATTTGGGCTTTTGTTTGGGGGTTTGAATTGACAAAAACACAATTTTGAAAGGAACCCGAAGAGCAAAGATGGGAAAGAGAAAGTAGGAAACAAATTAAAGTATTTAACTCAGAATTAAGTTGAAAAGGTTTTTGTTCTATGCTGATAATTAACTATGATACAGTGAAGCATCCACTGATGCTGATGCACGCTTTCAACAAACACCGTTGGATGGCCCCCACTCATCCGATTCCTAGGGCCATCATTTGTTTTTGATCCAATCATCCTGACCGTTGAATTTTTTGTTTGAACATGTCAATTGTTGCAGTGTATGGTCCCCCCTCACGCCCATAAAGAAATAAAAAGGGGAGAAATTCCGTTAACTAGTTATTATTTCATTTTAGAATATTTAAAGCACTTAATTTAATTGAGAAAATAACGGAAAAAATTATTAAATAATTAGTGGATGTAATACTAGGGGTGTTCGGTTCCGGGTACCCTATACTTTTTGAAGGAACCGAAACCAGAACCGAAACCAACGGTTCCTTGAAATTTGAAACTAGAACTGGAACCAACGGTTCCAATTCTTAGTTACCCAGAACCAAAACCTGTAACAACGGTTCCGGTTCCAGTTCTGAGTACTCTATAAAATTTATGACCCCCCAAAAGTTTTTAAAATGACAAAAAAACCCTTAAAAACTTACAAATACCCCCCACCTGGCACTTGTTAACAAAAATAAAATTACAAATTATAAATTCAAAATTACAAACTCCATTACTTTGTAAAGGTAGATTCTCAAAAGTCAAAACAACTTACTTTAAATGTTATGAAATATAAATATAAATGTATTCACATTACTTTTTCTACAAAAGTTTTTATTAACCCCCATAATCTTTAATTTTATTTTATATTAGTCTCGGTTCCTGGTTCCTGGTTCTGGTTTCGGTTCCTAACTATAGGAACTAGAACCGGAACCGTACACTTAACGGTTCCAAAAATTTGGAACCGGAATCTACCCATTAACGATTAGTTTTGGGTAAGAACCGGAATCAAACTCAGGGGACCCGCCGGTTCCGGTTCCAATCGGTTCTTTTGAACACCCCTATGCAATACTATTCCATATCCTTACTGATTTATTTTTTATAGCATAGAACATTACTGTTGTTATCGGGTGCGGTACTCCCTCCACAAACACTTGTATAACAAAAATGGGTTTGCGGGGATTGAAGAGAACAAGAAGAAGAGTCAAATGAAAAGAATATTAAAAGAAAAGGTCTTAAAAACGCTCAATTTGGGTTTTTGTTTGGGGGTTTGAATTGACAAAATCGGGTTAAAAAAACATAATTTTGAAAGGAACCCCGAAGAGAAAAGATAGGAAAGAGAAAGTAGGAAACAATTTGTTCGTGTAAAAGTCTAGAGCTGGTTAAGGATCGGTCCCAAGTGGGGCTGGGCCTGGGGCCATTTGGGACCCAAACTGGTCGCTCATGGGCCTAGGACCAATCCTAGGCCCATGAGCTATTTTAGGACCCAGACTGGTCCCGGGCCCATAGGACTGATCCTATGGGCCTGCAAAATTTCATTTTCCCTCCCTATTTTTTTTTTTTTTATATTTTGGAGTTAAATAAAATTTTGTAAGGGGGTTTATGTAAGTTTTAGGGGTAGATTAGTAAGTTTTTAAAAGTTTAAGTAATTTTAAAAATAATAAAATAGTAAATAAATTAATGGTTAATTTTAACATAAATGTAATATTCACACAATTACACGTTCACGCTTCACAAATAAACAATTAAATAATTTTTTTTAATTAAATTATTCATCTTCATCGTCAACAATATTTAAATCATTAAAATCTGTGTTCCTAAAGAGTTCGGGATCTTCAGGCTAAGGTTGTAGTCTTCTCTCTGTATGAGTCCAATCCCATAAACACGTTATCGCTTCAATCATCTCATCGGTTAAAAAGCATCTTCTGTCTTCAACAATCCGACCACTCGTTGAAAATGCTGACTCGGATGCAATTGTAGAAACCGGCACAAATAAAATGTCACATGCCATTTGAGCTACAATGGGAAATCGACTTTGATGTTGATTCCACTATTGAAGCACATTCATCTCACGTTTCTCCTTCTTAGTCATATGTGGACATTTCCATTTGTAGGCAGCAATTAAGCTCATTGGTCCATGTATGTACGAGCTGGAGTTACTACTTCTCCCATGTTCCATATACTTCCACATGCTTGATCCTTGATGGAGGTTCATCAGGGTCCTAGACATTCCACTTCCCCTTTCATTGTACTGTTCTGATATAAAGAAAAAAAGCTTTCCAATTTTGCTAAAGTCAGTCGATTAGACTATAATCATGTCCTAATGATGGCCTATCTAGTAACTATACATTTAACTACGTGTAATTTAAACTTAGAATCTACAACAAGACCTAATCCATTAAGAATGAATATCTAACCAATATTTCTCATATTTTCTTCCATCTTAAAAAATTCCATTAAAACGTCATTATATCTATATTTAGCAAAAGTTTTAGGAATTTAAAGTAATATCTAATGCTAAATTAGTAGTCGGATATAAATACCACTTAACGTATTAGTGGAATAAAAAAATTTAAGAAATTAATAAAAAGGTCACAAACCACCCAATCATTGTAGCTAACAACTTCTCTGGATGGTTCTTCCGGTTGACGAAATCTGTAATTTATCCTGCGATGGCAAAGCTTTTTCCAACATCAAGTAGGTGGAGTTCTAACGGATAGGCATGTCCGTAAATAACTTCAAAGGTCAAACCGGTGGACTCTTGCATGCAATATTTGACGTACTCTGTCATCTTTTGTGCTAACCGCCGACAATAAATCTGATAGCCGTTACACCTCTTACCTTCGAATGTATGAGCTAAACCTGCTTTAAACAATTAAATTGATGAGTGGCAAGCACATTCTGGTGAAAAATTTGTCTTCATCATGCGGATCCAATCCTTTTCAATACAAAAATTGTCGCGGTGTTAATAGCTGCATTACAAGCATTAGCGCTACAACTCTATCAATTACTACATATTCTTGCAAAACTTCAAGAATTGTAAAATAAATAGTGTGAGCACTATGTTTTTCATATAATGATTTAAACCCATCAATTTTGGTTATAGACCCCAACTATGATCTAGGAAATGTATTGTGATAGTTAAAAATCTATTTTGATCTATAAGCCCATATGTCTGATGTAATGCAATGATAATTCTAAAATTTTGAAATTCGTTTTTAAGTTTATTATTTATTTTGTTATAAAGTTTTAGTATATCTCTTCTACTTGTACTTCTACTAACAGGGGTATATGCTAGACAAAATGCAGTTTTAATCATGTGAATAAAATATAAGGATTTTCAGATAAACAAATGAGAGAGTCCATAGCAACTATGAATCTTGTTATTTCCTCTCGTGCAACATGTGCATTGTATTGCCATGTTGAGAAAGTTGAGGATTGTAGATTAAAATTAAGTTTGAGTTTGAATTTGTCTACCTGATTCGATTGAAGATATACCGGATAGCTGCATTATTTGGGGGTGTTTCTTCTCCAAGTGTCGTTGCATCGTTGAAGTCCCCTTCTCAGCACCAATAATGGTTCCACAGAAATTACAGACCCCACACGATTCTTCTCCCTCCTCATTTGTCTTTGGCCGTTTTGATTTGGTGAAGTGTCGTCATACATTGGACACGACCCTTTTTTACGGTTTTGGGGGGGGGGGGGGGGGGGGGGGGGGGGGGGGGGGGGGGGGGGGGGGGGGGGGGGGGGGGGGGGGGGCGCTGGGCCATGCCCGTGCCCATTGAGTCACAGCTCGCTTATGTTTGGATGCACCTCGTCCTGGTCTAATGTGGTTGTTGAATTGTAGTTGCTACCTCTAGAGGAAAGGGTGAAAACGGATCAAACCGTTCCATTTCTTCGGTGGATGGAACGTAAAACTCATTTGAGAATGATCCTCCAAATGCATCATTTCGGGAATTCATTATGAATTTATGATAAAATAATAAATAATTAATATAAATAAGAGAAGATATTGAAAAATATAAAAAAATTTGAATAATATAAAAAAATTATAAATATAAATATAAATTGAATGAGAATTTGATTGGAGATTTAGAGTAGTGAGTAGAGAGATCAAGAGAATGAAAGATTGAGTGGTGTGGAAAAAATGAGAAATTTAGGGGATATTTATAATGTAGCATTGAGTGGTTTGGAAAAAATGACAAATCCAGGTTTTTGGACCAGGCCTACTAGGACCAATCCTAGGACTGGGTTTTTGGGCCGGGTTTTTGGACCTGGTCCCAAATGACCAACTCTATGTAAAACTAGAAGGAGTAGATTGAGAGAGAGAATATATAAATACATATACACAAAAGGGTTTACGTTTATTTGTAGTCCTGTTTGTGGGTTATAATTAATTAATTAATTGGATTTGTGGGTTTTGATTGAGATTTTAATTTAGTAACTTGGGTTNCCAAATGCCCAACTCTATGTAAAACTAGAAGCAGTAGATTGAGAGAGAGAATATATAAATACATATACACAAAAGGGTTTATGTTTATTTGTAGTCCTATTTGTGGGTTATAATTAATTAATTAATTG